GATATTATTAGTAATTTCAATAGTTGAGATCATGAGTCAATTGAAACTAGACCATCATGGAGAACTTAGAAGCACTGGACGGCCGTTTCATTCTATTGTGGGATTCCTAAGTAGTGCTTATCCATGGTACCACTCCGTAAGATTCGAACCCAGGAACTATCTCTAGACCACTGAGCCGCCATCCAACGGTGTTAATGTCCAACTTGAACTAACCCACGAAATTGAGCGACATGTCCACCATTCTCTAGTTTCAATTGACTCATGATCTCAACTATTGAAATTACTTAATTTTCTGATTTACTTTGTTACCTAATAATAAAAAGAGACTATTTATGATTGTAGAACCTGATGAGAAATTATTGAAAAGAATATTCTTCGTTCATATAATTGTATTTTAAAGAGATTTATCAATTATAAAAGTTTTAATACAAGAAAGAAATTATTGGAAATATAACTGTAAAAATTGAGGGAATTTAAACAAAGACGTTCGAAAATAATTTCAGTAATGAACATTGATCTAATGATTTCCAGATACAAATACAAATTAACACTAATTAATTTCAGTTTATGTAAATAATTAGAAATGTACCACTATGATAACCACATAACATTAGAAACAACTTGGCGGCCTGCTTGAACAACTGGGCTACCTGTTCCTGCCATATAGATATTTCAACAAGTTATCTATTTTTGTTTGTTTTATTACATTATTATATCTATTGATTGCATAACCTATTCAGTTACGTTTCTAAAAAGTGTACAACCATTCGTTGTACAAGTTACAAAAGGCTCAATCAGAGATATCGTGGTTGCTGACAGTATGCAGTGAAAAGAATGTACATTATTTGGATGTCTATTTACTGGACTGTTAACATCTAATTGGCGATCATTCAATATTTATCGTCAGTATTGACCAAGAAGTAAGAAACAGAAACTTGTTGCAATACTTTGTGCTGAGAATTCTATATTGTGCCAAAAATATAATATTGAACAAAGTTATTAGTAATAATAATAGTAATAAATAATAGAAGGCTTTGAACAGTGCAATTAAACCACTTTACTGTATTTCATTAACCTGATATTAAAAGTTCATGTTTATCCAACATTTTGCTGATAATAATCATACATTTAATGGCGCCAAATATAATTTATAATTTCAGTTTATATTCCTAATATTTACACTAAGAATAACATAGTCTTATAATTTAAATTATTGGGACAAAATAAAGTGGTTGATAGAATGTGTTTACTATAACATACGATATCCGATAATTGATAATGATACCTAATCTTACTATATACAAGTTTAACCGACTACTTGAAAGAAAAGAAAATAACAGAGAGAAAAAAACCTATTCAGTAAATAAATCGACAGTATTACATATGTAAATATTCATTAGAACATTAACTTACTTACTTACGCCTGTTACTCCTCGTGAAGGAGCATAGGCCGCTCACCAGCATTCTCCATCCAACCCTGTCCTGGGCAATCCTTTCCAGCTCCTTCCAGTTGTAATTCATCCTTTCCATATCTGCTTCCATTATCCGACGTAGTGTGTTCTTTGGCCTTCCTCTTTTCCGCCTTCCCTTCAGCATTCCAATTTAGGGCTTGCCTAGTGATGCAGTTTGATGATTTGCGTAATGTATGTCCTATCCATTTCCATCGTCTTTTCCTAATTTCTTCTTCAGCTGGGAGTCGGTTTGTTCTCTCCCACAGAAGGCCATTGCTGATGGTATCCGGTCAATGGATGTTTAGTATCTTGCGTAGACAGCTATTTATAAATACTTGTACTTTCTTGATTGTGGTTGTTGTAGTTCTCCAAGTTTCAGCTCCATACAGTAGAACTGCCTTGACGTTCGTATTGAAGATTCTCACTTTGATATTGGTTGAAAGTTGTTTTGAGTTCCATATGTTCTTCAATTGTAGGAATGCAACCCTTGCTTTGCCGATCCTTGCCTTTACGTCTGCATCGGATCCTCCTTGTTCATCGATTATGCTTCCCAGGTATGTGAAGGACTCTACATCTTCCAGCGTTTCGCCATCAAGAGTGATTGGATCACTTTTCTCCGTGTTGTATTTGAGGACCTTGGTTTTCCCTTTGTGTATACTGAGGCCCACTGATTCAGAGACTGCTGCTACACTGGTTGTCTTTATCTGCATCTGTTCGTGTGTATGCGATAGGAGGGCTAGGTCATCTGCGAAGTCCAAATCGTCTAATTGATTCTGAGCTGTCCATTGTATTCCGTGTTTTCCTTCAGATGTCGAGGTCTTCATAATCCAGTCGACCATCAGAAGAAAGAGGAAGGGAGAGAGTAAACAGCCTTGTCTAACTCCGGTTCTTACTTGGAATGCGTCTTTCAGCTGTCCTCCATGCACGACCTTGCATTGTAGTCCGTCGTATGAATTCCAGATAATATTGACAATCTTCTCAGGAACTCCGTAGTGTCCAAGAAGTTTCCATAACGTCCTCCTATCTACACTGTCAAATGCCTTTTCATAATCAATGAAGTTGATGTATAGTGACGAGTTCCACTCAACTGATTAGAACATTAAACCATTAATAAAATAAGATAGGACATTTTTTGGATGATCATATGAACATGTCCTGTGGTCGACTTTTAATTTTCCCCAATGTATTAGTACTTGTTAAATGTAGCGTTTTTTTAATATATTCTCATGATACACTTTCATGTTTAACAACACATAAACAAAAGATAAGAATTTATATTCTAATATTCTGTAGTTTTTTCAGCTTGTACTGTCATTCAGTAATGATGTGAAATGAAAAATAACAAAGCAAAGCCAAACAACGAAAGCTATCTTTTAAGATATTTTCTTACTTATTGCAAAATTCATCAAACATTAACATTTAGTTTGAATAATGTAAGAACAATGAAACTAGCAGTATAAAATTAAGTCACCGTTTCTTATCAGTTCCTTAAAACTTAAACATTATAACCAGAAAAGGGTTATGTGGATATTATCCACCATTGTCATCAGTGAGTTACTATTTCACAACAGAACCGGTTGAACTCCACTGATCACGGCTTCTCAATAGAACTCTATAAAATACCTCTTGGAGACCGTCACCAACGAGCATATGATGATTATAATCAGAGAGTGGTTTGTGGATATTATAGTAATTTTAATAAAGGAGTTCAACCGGGTATGTTGAGGGATTGTAACTCACTGATGACAACGGTGGGCGGTGTCACGACTTTGTGGATTGGTTGAAGTTAGACATTAACACCATTGGATGCCGGTTCAGAGGTTTAGAGGTTGTGAATTCACGTACGAGACCGATAGGTTCTGCGTTCGAATCTTCTGAGGATCGTAGATGCACGTTGCTGAGGAGTCCCACAGTGAAACGAAATGGCCGTCTGGTGCTTCCAGGTTTTCCATAGTGGTTCATTTTCAAGTGACTCATGAATTCAATTATTAAAATTAGACATCATAGTATTATTCATTATAAATCAGCTTACACAGTTAATTCATAATATTGGTAAAAGTTCTCGTTAGCGAAGATAAATGAAAGAGAATCAACAAATGTGGATGGACTATAAGAGGTAATTTAAGTGCTAAATAAGAATATTCCAGAATAAAAACTAAGAGCATAAAATCAGAACTATTTAGAAATGATATACTAATATTGTGATTACGTAATCCTTAAGATAAATTGAGTACCTATCAGAAAGATTGTATGAAACTAGCATTTCGCTTTATCAGTATGGCGTTGTGGAGATTGTTGAGTCTTCTGAGATCATGAACTGATCAATATTAAACTACCATTGAAAATTCAGCTCTTCAATGGTGATCAGTTCATGACCTCAATAATAATTTAGTTTTATGCCTGTTTTATTACATGAATCATAAGCTCAATTTAATGCATAAATTACTGTCATATTCTCTTATTTAAACATTAAAAACATGAAATTCAGTGAAGGGATCTCTTTTCAATTAATTTATTATCAAGCTGTACAATCGTATGCATATGAAGCATTTTTGTTAAAGTACTAGTTCTATGAAGAAATGTGAACAAGCAATAACGAAGACGATGGATTCCCTAATATATGTCAAAAGTATTGTAATTTGAACGTGACCATCGTATTTCTTTTTCCTACTCTAATATCTTAGCTTGGATACAATCATATTTTCTTATTCCTTATGCGTTGTAGTCGTGAACCGACCATTGAATATCGTTTATTGCATGATTGTTTCTACATTATTTTTAATAAAATTCTTTTCATCTCGTTTAGTTCAATGAAAATAATTAGTTTCAAAATGATGATTAGTGGTTACTGGTTCTTGAAAAGTGATGTAAAACATAAATATTCCTTGACTGATCACCATTTCTCCAAACTATGAACGTAGATAACTTTACAAAGTTCTACCTGTATTATTTCGAACATTGTCATGGACACCGAAAGTGTTCTTAATTACATTATATCCGATGGGGTTTGTTAATAAACACGCAAGCACACATTTTTAAAAAAAAGTTAGCCAATCAATTATTTTTAAGTTCTTTTTCAATCACATTCAGAAATTTTCATCATTAAATTTTAGGAATCATAATAACCGTTCACTGAATGTTAGCTCCAATCATTCGTTTTTTTCTTTTGGTTCCAATCAGGAAAAATCAGATGTATGAGTACAGCTAAATCATCGTGAGTCCGAGTCCCGCATGCGAGACCGTAGATGCGCTCTGATGGGGATTCCCATACTAGAACGAAATGGCCGTCCAGTGCTACCAGTTTTTCAATGGTGGTCTAACATTTATCGATTCCTGCTCTCAAACATAATCTCGAACAAAACAACTACTATTTACATCCTAGTGTTTAGTGATTTATAAACTTATTTCAGTCCAAGATGAGAAATAACTTGGTAATTGAATAAACACTGTTAAACTCCCTAAAAGAAATTTTATGAAACAACCTTCAAAGCATTTGTCTTTCCTATTTACCGTACAACTTGATATCCAAATATTAAAACAACAAAGAATCCATTCAAAAGAAATATCAACTTTTTTTTAAAAACTAAACTGTTGATTTTTAATTGGATAAGGGTTAAGGGTAAAAAGCATTGCAATAAACCATACAAAGATTTGTAAATTGAAAGCAATAATCGAATACTTTGTAAAAATGTATTGCCGTTTTCTTGCTTACGTACATGCACATCCCATTATTTCCGTCCGTAATAATTGAAAAGGTAAATATAAACAATATTGTAGGATTGAATTATATTTTGCTTTAAAGAAAACAAAATGTTTGTCTAAATTAATTTATCAGAATAGCTGAAGGAACGGGAAATGTAGGTAGGTAACAGTGAAAATTTAAATAACTAGAAACTAATACCAACTAATGTCAAGGTTGTATTCAAGGTTTTCCATGTATCTGAATCTTTCCTTCTTTTTGTATGTATGTATGTATGTATGCATGTTTTCTACAGTAACTAAGACGAAGTTTACAAAAAAAGACAGACAGTTTAACTAATAAAGATTTTCATTTGATCATTTCTTTTCTCTTTTTTTTTCTTTTTGTTTCTAGACAAAGTGTGAATCTAAAGTCTAGTTTAGTATAGAAATAAAAAATAAGCCGTTAATGTTTACATCTACTTTCATTTTACCATTAAAAGAGAAAACAATATTACTCTTCATTTCTTTTAATGTGATAAGAAGAATGTATGCACATACATAAACATAACAGAATCGAATGATAATTGATTAGGGCATAAATCCTTGTGAACTATACTAAATGAATGGCTGATTGGTTGGTTGCTTGAATGCTTTCATCTCTAAGATATAGATAAATATAAACTTTGAATAAATGACGTTAGAATTCATTAAATGTCATCAATAAACAATGTAACGCTTCGTTTTGTTATACTGACGGATGGAGAGAAAGAAAAAGTACCGTTAACGATAAATTAAGTGAATATGCATGCAATATATTGTCTAGTTTGTTATTCAGCAAGTGTAATTGAATGTAAACTATCTTGGTTTGTAATGGCGTTTGCATTTTTGTATTTCTTTTTTTAGTGGAGTCATGTCAGGTTGTGTGCTTTAAGCGAATTCATCCGGTTATAATAATAATAATGATGATGATAATAGTAATAATAATAGCGATAGTTGTGAAAGGGTAAGACATACATGAAGCCAAATGCAATTGTTGAGAATATATTTAATTTTGTCTGTTTGTAAAAGCTTATTGGTTGATTAGAGTAAAATGAAACTGAAGATCAATGTAATCTGAGATTACAATGTTAGAATTCTTTCAAAATCAATATAAATATTTTATTGATTATTGATAAGCATTGATAATTCACTAATATATTTTGTTTTGTTCTGTTTTATTTTATTATTTTGTATTTGTCACAAAATATATTAAAGTTGAATAGTGAAGTCTGCGCTGACAGCATCAGAATAAGCCATTTGAGTAGGTGAAGGATCAGAGAATTGCATCATCTGAAAAAAATAATAAACATCACTTTAAGGGATAACTATCGTAATTTAGATAGAGTAGAAAGAATGTGTCTGGCAGTGGAATCCAGGATACGTAGTTCGTTATGTCTAATACTTTTCATTTGGATTTACATGCGTCCTACAGTTAATGTTTAACCCAGGATTCAAAATCAGTACTCTTCATTTTCAAACATTCAACGCATTATCTGCCAGGTTACTGAATCAGGGCAAACGACTTTTTCAATGGGTATGAACTGTAATTCAATTTGTACTGGTTTAGAGTATCTCTTTGTTGACATTTTGACTAAATTTTGATTATTCTTAGTTGCTATATGTGCATCCTATGTAAATCGTCTTGATAAAGCCATAATATCACATGTTTATATAGAATAAATGAAATGTGGCTGTTTGATTTGTGTTAAAATAGAATAAAACTTTCGTCAGGGACTCCATTTCTAGCCATATTCCATTTATTCCATAAAAACCTATAAAGTATTGTGTACATCAAGACAATTCAAACAGGATGTACATATTCCTGCTATAAATGATCAAAATTCAGTTAAATTATCAACAACGGGTTACTAGTCCAAACCTTTAGAAATAAAACTCAAACTATAGTAATTACATAAATGATTTATCACGATTAAAGTATGCTAACCTTCAACATTTACTCATCTAATGTCTAATTAGAAGTCAATCATGTAAACGACTGTGGCTTTTCTCTTTACTACTAAAGACATATTTTGAGGAGATGATCATAAAAATTAAAAACAAAAATAAAGTGGTTAGTTTAAATATTCATAAAACATGCGCTCAATCTATTTAGGTGTACACATTGTTGCTCAATTATATAAAGAGATAGCATTCTGGAAAAAAACAACAGATTATCGCTGGCTGTAAAGACGTCCGAATTTCAGTCTGAACTAAAGGTAGAGTGACTACTAATATTCAGTCAAATTTTTTTTGAAACAAAGGTAATCATTATAGAAATTATTGGCTCTTATATCTATCCTTAAGTAATAATAATAAGTAATTGTACCATTTTAAAAGTATAAATATTATTGGATAACAAGTTTGAGGACTGGAAAGAGGGAAGTTGTTATAAGTTGTGCATTAATCCGGCGACTAGTGAGAATGATAATTTCAAACTACAATTGTTTTAATATCATGTCTATTTTTTTTAATCTTCATAGTTATACCATCAAATCTTATCGTTAAAGATAAAGATGCGCACTGTTAAGGAGTCCCACAATAAGACGAGACGGCCGTCCAGTGCTTTCGGGGTTTCCATAGTGGTCTAGTTTCAATTGACTCATGATCTAAACTATTAAAATTACTATAATATCTACAAAACCCCTTCTGATACTAAAAAATATCACATTCATTGTTATGTCAGTCAAATAAACAATCTCTACAAACTGTTATTACCAATATATACAGTAAATTGTGAAATTCAATGAATTTTACCATAAACTTGTTAAAGTATTTTTCATCTTTCATGTCGGTTTCCGACGTAAGCGTCTACAACTTCTAATAACTTGTAATCAAAATGATTTCTAGTTTGGTTAGAATCTTCTAGCATTTCTAATCATCTGTACAAAGACAACTAATTAAAACTGAAGTTAACATCTTACTTGATATTCGAATAAGTGTCATGAAACATCAATCATGGATTATATTAACTATATTTTGACAATGACTCCAGGACTATGACAAATTCGTTGATGGAAATAAGTCTGAAGTTATGTAAAATTTATTTTAATCCATCCAAATGCATGTTTCGAAGCATTGTATACCTCAGTCCCATAACGAGCTTAATAAAAATAATTTACTGTACAGTTGATTATTCTTAATACAGAAGAGAATATTTTAACTCTAAATAACGTGTAATGTACCGTCAGCTATACGACATGATAATTATTCTTATCAATAATGGGAGATCGATCCACTTTCTTTATCCACAGTCGTTTTTTGACAGAGTGAAACAATACTTGACCAAGTGTTATTTCTCAATCATTTCAAGTAAGGTAACTAATTATGTGAGATAAATGGTTACTTCCGTTCATTTTTTGGTTCGCTCCACTGTTCACTGTATTTGTAGTGGACGAGAATTCAAGTGGAGTAAACCATTTTTTTAATTTAATGCAAAATTACAGATTGTCTTCGTGAAATATGAAAACCATACGTTAAATACATTGTTTGCACATCTTCCAGTTATCTTAAACATGTTTTGTGATTCTTTCAATTCAGTCGTTATTACAATTGATCTCTGCTTACTTTTTTGTTCTCTTCAATTCAATCTTCTTAATCTCCTGCTGACAGACATTCCACTTCTGATTGCTGCTACACACTACTCATATGTGCCAGCTTAAGTAGGTACACCACATAACGAGTTATTGTTTGTGTCGTGAATGAGTTGAACTCCGTAAAAAAAAGTGGTTAATCGGCTCTTCTGTTAAAAAAGTAGCTACTTTTTTGTCAGTCAATAGACTTTCGATTATTTTTCTTGTTTAAATAAGGAGAAGAATATTCTATTTCCACAGACTGACATCATCTTTGAACTTATTGAAGAATAAAGGATAATAGAGAGTTGTTTCATCTTTGTTTCAGATCTCACATCAGTATACATTTAGTCAACAAATGATTAGACTTTACTAGAATTCTAATTTTGTAACAAAGACTCTTCAGTTTATACTGATCCATGATAAAAAATTACCTTTAGATTGAATGGATGGATATGTTATCGCAACAACAATCGTAAAATGCATCTATTTGAAATTATCTCGATTCATATTACTTAAAAGTAGTTATAACCACTACTAAACAATAAGAATAATTAGAAATAATAACGAATAGCTACGATGAAAATGTCTAAGTCTACAACATTCAAATTACCAAGCATAAACATGCACACATACATACACATACATAGAAGGATCTACACGTATGAAAGGTGAAAATGGACGTATGAATGTACACGTATAAAGAAAAGTCGAATTATTCTATAGGAAAATATGGATTCATGTGACTTGATGGAGTCGATTGTTGAGGATGATAATAATGACAATGATAATGATCATGATCATTATGATAATAATAATTATATTAGAAGAGTGCAGTATGAAAGTAATCACTTCATACTGTTCATCATACACATGCAATGAAAACTACTAAAGTATAGATGTACAGATGATCAGTGTGTAAAACTCATGGAGAAATATATAAAGGTCAATGATGCATACAAATAAGAATAATAAGGTAATATATTATGTTAGTTTACAAACTACCTGAAATGACTTTTTACTAAATGATAATATCAATCAGTGAAACTAACTAGGAATAAATTTAGAAAATCTACTATTATAGATAAAGTGCATCTATTTTAAGTAACTTACTGTGTTAGCAAAACCTATGAATTAGTCTGACTTGATTGATACAAGAAAATTGTGTGTAAGTTGATCATCAAAGTTTATTGTAAATTAATGTATATCATTTACAGATCACAGGATTTACGTACTCATCATCAAGTCAAACTGTTTATATAACCGGTAGTGATACTAAAATTCTGCCTAAAACAACTTAAGTAAAACAGTATTGGAAGCTAGAATAAGATGTTCGAAAGTCGAAGGTTTTTTGGTGATGAAGCTACTGATCCAGTTTTTTAGCAGTAGTAGTGTAGTGAACGGGAATACAAGTGAGGACAACCAAATGTACATTACAGAATATCTTGGTAAAATCTGAGAACTATACAGTAAATACTTCATTTGCAAAACATCCATCAACTGTCTCAGACTTTGTTGTTCCTTCGTTTCAATATCGATCATTCTCTGTTCTCGTTCTCTTCTCTTCAATTTTCTCAACCTTCTGATGCCAAGCATTCCACTCTCGATTGGTAACACATAATACTTAGATATGTCCTCATCAGTAGCAACCGTGACGGTAGTGGTTCTTATCTTATTTTGATAAGATTTTTAAAAAAATATAAATTCGACATTCCAAAATAATAAAAACGTGGATCTTGAGTAGTTTTCGTGTATATCTTGCTGAAAATACTATGATCAATAAATTTTGTATGAATTGTCCATATTCACGTTTGAAAAGGAACTATTCCTTGAATTTTCAACAAGAATCCGTCAAAATACTTAAACTATCCAAGTTGAATACAACATAATGATACCTTTATTGTTATGAGATAATTATTAATTTCATGACGAGATTTCTTATAGGTATTCATTCAGTTTACACTGTGTCGTCATCATTCCGATAAGCTCATTTTATATCTGATGTAAGTATTCCAAGTAATAGCAAACAGATAAGTCACATTAATAAATAAATCACTACTATTTTATTCCAATGATAGAATTGACATCCTTACAGAAGCATACTAGCCGAATTACGTATAGAATGTTAATCAGGATACGTAATATCATAATGTGTAGTGCTGACAATGAGGCAAATGTATGTCAGTTGTAGCTAACCCTTGATAACCGTATTTTGGTCTAATAATAAAATTTTTTAACATTTTCACCTTTTTCTAGGTAATAGAGCTTTCTGGATAACGACGAGCTTGATTTCTGAAAGTGTTCAACACTTCAACATTATTTTTTAATTAGAATTCAGTCGAAATCAATTCGCTGTTTCCTATTGTCGCTGTTCATATAAAACAGAATGAAAAACTAAGCACTTGGACATGAAGTATCAAAAAAATCTATTTCATCAATATATTGCACAACATGTTTAATACAAATATTTTTAGTTTGATCAAATGAAGGATAAAGCCGACAACAATAAACAAGATTTGGCCGTTAAGAGTAGCTGAAGTTTACTTTTGCTTGGACATTGAGGAATTAATCATAAGGCCTATCGAGGAAATGCTTAAACTTACATTCTGTGTTCATCGCTGAGCATCCATACAGACTGTCGTGAAGTTATACACATCTGTATATTTTATTGTTATATCCTCAATAACTTAAACCAACTATTATTTCTCATTACTGTCTGTACAACAGCAAAACGGGTCTTGCTCTAGACACAGTACTGTTGTGTATTCCTTCCGCATTAGTGGCTTAGTGTTTGTCAATGATGGAATGGCAAAGCAAAATTCATTAGTGCTGGATAAAACATTAGTTAGAATAACAGAAAGATCAGGTCGAACATCTTGTGTTCTTTAGATTACTCAGGTCTGAAATACTCGCTTAATTATAAAGCATTATGACCAATAAATTTCAATCGATATACAGTTATTAAGTAGAGTGAAAGCTCACTATCAATGTAACACGAAAAGCAATGACCCAACTGTTTAATCAATATACAGAAGTATGCAAAGTTATTCTGCCCAAAAATAGCTCTCTCAGTGTCATAGTTTTCATTTTGCCAGTTTATGTAAATAAATAGGAAACATAATTGTAGACGGTAGCGGAAATTTATTCTGAAAGCCTAAAAACAATCTTTCTATGGATGTAGTTTTATTTATTCATTTTTAGTATCCAGATGTGACTGGATAATATTACCTCAAAACATTTTTGGCAACCGTTACATTATCAACAACGAACTGGTCTTGATTAGACCAAGACTGAAAACCAGGAAGTACTGGAAAACTGTTTCGCCTCAGTATTGGGGCTCCCCAGAAGTACATACTAGCAACAACACATTACAGGGCACCAAACCAAAGACTTTCATTTTATGATTTAAATTATGCACATTCTACCATCTCAAACTCTAATGCACCGACATCTGTATTTATAGTTACCAAACAGACAACATTCATAAGCAAGAGAAAGTTAGTAAACAACAATAATAAAATAACTTACAGAATTCACAATCGGTGGTGACATTATGGGCGATGACGGTGGTGGGGGCAATGTCACATTTTGAGCAACAGGCGCCATAGATGGTGGTGGCGGTGGCGGTGGTGGTGGTGGTGGTGTTGGCTTAGCAGGAGATGGAACATTCCGTGGTGATTCAACTGGTGTTTGTGTTTGTCCAGGTGGACTAATTGTTAATGGCTGTAACATTTGTATAGGCGGTGAAGGCTGGTCCGGACGTTGATTCTATAAAGGAAGAAAGCACTCTTACAGTCTCAACGTTACAGGAGATCGGTAGCAGCTTGGAGAGCTCAATCGTAAGCTGCTTTGACCATAAAGCTGGTTGACACTAAATCATATACTCCAGGAACTATCACTTCTGTCAAGATTAGTTTCAAAAGCGCAAAACCTAGGCGAAGCAGAGTTCTTTGTTAACTACATCCAAACACCACCTTATAAACAATCTACTCATTCTTGGTGTTTTCACTTACTAATCTTCTACGGTTTGTCAACTGTCTAGTCGAGTGATCGATAAGTACATTATTCTCTATAGACCAAGAATTATGAGCGAGAAGTTACACTTCTAAGTAAGCTATACTGAAATTATCATCTACTAAGTATCATTTAGAAAGTGAATATTTTTGTTGTGCATCACCAGTTAGTTTAATATTAGACTGCAGTGAATAGACCAGTCGTCCATCTTTTTGGAAAACTGATAACTAGAATCTAAATGAATATATAATATAATGTAATTTTTAATGAAGCATTTAACTAATAGACGACCACAGTACAATGAAATTAAGCTCTCTAACTGCTTACAACGCAATTTTGTAAAAGTCTACAAACTCAACTGAATAAAGTTTATTCCTAACATTTATTCAGTTGTTGCGTTATACCAAATAAACACTTACAGGTGCTGCATTCAACCTGATCACTGTTGTATTCGGCTGTTGCTGCTGTTGTTGTGGTGGTGGTATCGGAGCTTGAAATTGAGGTCCAGGCGTTGGTTTTTGCATTGCTGGTGGCTAAAGTACATGAGAAGTGTTTTCATCAGTATACGAAAATCGTTATTTTTTCAACTCAAAAGCTATAACAACAAGAAAAAACCGTATAACCTCTCTCTCTCACTCTCGCTGATCCAATTACCGAACAGTTCACCTATATTGCCAGTAGGGCTAATAACCTCCTGTCTACCTGTTGGCACATCGACCAATCAGCAGCATGCAAGACTTTAAAGATTTTCGTTCCTCAAGTTTCATTTAACTCAATAGCTTATTAGAAGATGAAGATGGACAGCAGATCTATTCGTTGTTAAAATTAATTTAACCAGGACCGAAAAGTCATACAGGAATATGACTACAATAATCAGACCATATAGGAACATATTTAGGGAAATATGATGTGTGTATAACTTAGTTATGTGGTACAAAACCATAGTTTTTAGTTCGGGGTTGTAGAGGTTGTTGAATTGCATCGAATCCATGAACCGATCAATTTTAGACCACCATTGGAAACCTGGGAGCCTTGGACTGCATGTAGAACCCAGCAGTGCACACCCACGCTGTGCATGGGGGATTTGGACCTAGCAGCTTTGGCCTAACGCGAGAATGCTTGACCTCTAGATGACTGAACCAGAATCCATTGGCGTTAATGTTTGACTTCAACCAGTGTGCGATGTCGCGCGACCATTTTCCGTTGCCTAGGACGAATGGGCCGTTCAGTATTTCCAGGTTTTCAATGGTAGTCTGACATTGTTCGGTTCATGGTTTCCATGAAAACCATAGTTATAAAGGAATAAATATATAGTGATAAATCTGGAATAATGATATATATGACGATGAAATATGAGTCAAACAATAGCTTTTAATAGGAGAATATAAAAGCACAACAGTAAAAGCATCCAATAATTACAATAAAATATCAGTAATAATCCTTCGTATCATACTTCCGCACTGTTCGTCCTAATAAATTGGCAATCATACATGGGTGGAATTCTAAAATACATTAGTTTACAAAAACTTGTCAGAAGACACGAATATGTGTTCGCTTAAAACTAGTATGTAAACTTTTGAAGTCAGTCCTAGGAGAAAGGTAAGTGTATCTTTTTACTGTAACTGAGCTTCTGCACGCTCCAAGTTAAGAAAAGAAGTACAGATAGCTCTTATAGGTTGAAACTAATCATGCGAACGGGATATTTGAAGGACTAACTACCATTTTTCTTTGAAAGACTATTATCAAATATAAACTATTGACTAACTTAGTAAGTCAATAGTGGTAATATCTCAAAAACACGTATGTCCTCAAAATGTTAGATTATCATCAATAAAAACCCATTTACTTGGAAATTTTGTTGTTGTGCCTGATACTGTTGTGTATTTGGTGCTGTTGTTTGTTTTTGATACTGAACATTATTTGGTTGAACATTCTGTAGTTGAGGTTGTGAAGGTGGTGGTGTTCTTGGTGGTACACTAGAACGTCTATTAGTACGTAATTGAGATTGAACACGTGAATATAGATTTTCTGTTTCTTCAACATCTACACCAGCAGCAGATCGACCACGAATTTCAAGTGCTTTAAAAAACAGATACATGAAAAATTTCTAGCAACTTTTCTAAATAACTAATGTTACCAGGTGAAAATAAAAAAAGAAATAAGAAACATTGGACAGATGTTGTTTTTGCAACTCTTCACTTGTAAGTACTAACAAAGATCTTTAAATCTTATGGTGTGACTCGGATAATATAATTTAATGTATTAAAGGTAAACAAATTAAAAATCCAAATTTTGAAAATTCCCATATTGTGAATTAAAACAACATAGATAAGCGAATAATGCCGTTTTGAAGTGGATCCTCATCAGGCTTTACTCTAACATACAGTTATTATTCTATGTATATACATAATTATTAAACCAATCAACACATAAACATATGACAGGTGTACTAGTTGTAATAGGATTAACAAGGGCTTGAATCAATGTTTCATAAGAGGAAATAGTTCAGTGACTTGAAATATTTGGACACTGAAATAGCATTAATAAAAATTTTAAGATAATGTAATATGAAGTGTTCAATGAAGCGCATACTTGAGAAATGAAAAAAACTGATGAGTGATGAAAAACAAATGGAATATGAGAATAGAAAATAATAAGGATTAAATTTTTTTTCTATTGCACTTAATTCGGTCAAGGAAGAGGAAAAGGTGTTACAAATTTCTTATGAATACAAAGATTTGGATTGTTAGTTCGAATCCTTACAGCTTTTGCTATATGTACGAGACGAGATTGAATCCCATAACAAAAACTAGTCGGAATACGATAAATCACTTAGAGTAACCTATTTCTATCTACTACATAACCACTATCGATTGAGTATGGTAGAACGGAGCTGCATATTGTTTTGACGATACCCTTTCTCAATCACAAAGGAGGCGTTCAGTAAGTGGCTTAGCTGTCTGGTTGTGCGCTCAATACAGCTTTTTCCACAGGAGAAGCTGAATTCGTAAATACCCGTAAATGTTTTAACAGTTGAATTCAAAAGTCAATATAAGCTACACCAACATTGAAAACATGTAAGCACTGTATGATCATTTCGTCCTAGTATCGGACTCCTCTGCAGAGCGTATTCACGAATACTCATGCAAGACATAGGACCAGGTAAATTATCATTTAGTTGAGGAATCACCATAGTTTGGGTTGAGAACAACAGACGGAGGTTAGCTGCACTAAACATTCACTTCACTGCTCTAGCCTGATGAGGATCCAATTGAAAACAATATTGTTCGCTTATATGTTATTGTGAAAATTTAAAACTGATAGTTTCACGATCCAATCTAGAAGCTGTGATACTTTCATAATCTAATATGAATAAACTAACTAAATTTGTTAGTGATTTCATAAACCGTTTTCCATTATATACTTTACTACAATACTCAGTGTTTTAGTTTATACATATTTTGAACTAAAAAAGCCTTCATAATCCAGCATGAATATTTATAACTTAATTTGGAATGCATTCCTTCTCGCGAGATTTATAAGTAAACAATCAGAGAGAATACTTGTATTAATTCAATGACTTTGTGGGAAGTTAAATATATACCTGATACGATAACAAAGCAGTGAAACTAATCTTAGATCTGCCATGTCATCCAAACACAAGGATTTTATATATCTAGTTTAAAGATAGCTTTTGTTTAGTAGAATCACCTATTCTAAAATAGTTTGTTTTCTTTTTTCAACAACAATTGCAAATTTTCACATATATGTATGTGTGTGTGTGCTTGAAGACACTAACCTCTAGTCTGAGCCATGTTGGTAGATGCAGACTACTTGGTTGGGGTCCGCGTGACTTTTCTAACCGATGGTTGGAGACTCTTGGTGACATGGCTCAGAATCGATCACAATGGCGTAGGTGCATACGCTCCCTGTCTTCCATTAAACTAAGAGATTAAAATCACTTCATATCTTTCTTTATACGAACCAATTCTTTCTTCCTGTACTGTATCCTTATATGCAATCTTTCTCCTATATATTACCACCTTTGACCAAACCACTCCTATGAATCCGGTGTTCATCTTGCTGTGCTAATGAGATATGGCAACCTGGACCGATGCATATATGTGCCTGGTCCTACGTTGTAGCTGACTGACTGACCGATGTGTGTGTGTGGGAGCATAACAAAAATGAATGATGTGTAAACATAAAGTAAAAATGACAAATGAAAACACTTGAACTCACCTCGCTCTAAACGTCGTAAATCAAGCGCTTGGGCCTTTGGTTTACGAAAAGCTGATGAAAGTTCATCACTACATTTTACCTTCTTCAATTGCGCAAGTTTTTTGAATGGATTTTCTACATTATGAAGATTAAAATCAAACAATTTATTCAAATACAATCTTGAAGTGTTAGAAATTATTGAAATAAAAATCTTAAATATTTCTTTACAAACAATAACAAAGAAAAAGCAAAAATTACATTGTTACGGATACAAACTGTACAGTATTGAGAGACATGATTCACCAGTCAAAGGCCTAGTTATAATTTCTTTACTCCATGTATACAACTACTTTTAAGATCGTCTAGAGCTCTAAGCTTCAACTAATTCTGCCTCCAAATACCCTGGTACGACCGAGGGTATGGAAAGTTCGCTCTTCTTCTCGAAACGCTCTCATATGGTCACGCGTACACAGCCACTGTCAGAAAAGTCCTACTCACTGCCTTCCCGCGACATTACTGTTGCGTACGAAATTGAGAGGACGAAAAGGGAATGTTCAGAGCTTTAACCGAGTTGGCGGATATGGAAGATCCACCTCCATACGTTGCTCCACTGCCTTGTGGGTCAGACTTTTAGGTCGAAGTTTACGAGTGTGGCTCGGTCTGAGCACCCAGGCAGTATCACAGCCAACACAAATCACGTGACTTGTGTGGCGCATATGCATGTGGTACTCGTTTGTATTAACGTTTATGTGTTCAAATAAATAAATATAAATCGACTAATTCTACACTTTGACTGTTTAGATTAACCTTGAGTGCAGCCATGACTAAACGGTTCAAAACGTATTCTCTTGAGTTCGAATAAGAAAACAAAGTAGTAAAGATTTTATTATCAAATTTCAATCACCCAGTATATCTCCTTTAAAGACTCATTACTTTATGTACGTGACTTATCAGACCGCAGTGCACCTCGAATTTGAAATCATACTTTACAGAAAATCACGCTATTAGAGAACAAGAAAATAATGAAAGGATAATGAAACGTATTGCTATAGTTAATAGGTTTAACAGTAACTTACAACCCATTGAATGTAGAAATACAATAAATCACTTATCTGACAATGATATAATTAAAATATAGACATTAGCAATCTGTATGATAGTTCCGAAAGTTCTGAAGTCTTCAATAACACATCTCATAATTTCTGAATCTTAAACGGATTATAAGCGTACACTTTTATACTATGTATGTTATGTCTCAAAGTGACAGCCGATTATATGACAGTGACTTATCGATCGGATCAAGGATTCAGAATCTCGATAGTCTATTCTGGTCCGTTGTCCCCAACTCTGCTAACTCGATCAAAAAGTCTGGGTAAGGTGTAGAAAGTGTATTCTACAGACAAACAGCAGATAACAAGTCAGGCAGGCAGATCAGATCAAGCATACAAGTCAAGCGTATTTATACAAATATTTACAATCGATATTGTCATGGAAGATTTTTGAACATTAATCAACAATTGACTGCTATTTGAACCTTTAATCGATAGTTCATCAATTGACCTATTTGTACATTTAATCGATAGTTCATCAATTGACCTATCTGCACATTTAATCGATAAGTAAATTACAAAATTTGAGTTTTGGGGATCTGTCGTCCCCAACAACTATGTAACTGACGTAACGGATAAAAGTAGATACTTGGATTTATATAGAATAGATGTAATGTGGCTTGGAGTGGGATTCATGATTCGTCTTACCCGAGACTCATCAGTCGAATGCATCTGCATTCCATAGTTGATTAAATTTCACTCAAAATGCCAATAACAGGTTCATTCAAACGATTCAAATCAACTTAATATACTTGGATTTTATCGAAACCCATGTGATTGGGCCGTAATTACAGAATGGGAGTTGTATTAACCTCTCCAAGCATTGATAATTTTGCATAGATCGTCTACGTAGTATTAGTGACCTGGTAATCGATTATATGATAATAGGGAGATAAAAGCTGAGAACAAAACTTAAAGGTTGTTGGTCTAAAATGCAGTTCTACTTTTGCTCAGCCAGTAGCCAGAAGCGAACACAGCATCAAAATCATATTACGATGAACGAACTCGCTAACACATACCTAGATTTATAAAAGTAACATTCATGGATAATAATAGCGCCAGTATAATGTGATTACGTACTGTCCTTGAAATTTTATTTCATACAGATGTTATAGAAACTATATAGATCAAAAGTGATGCTTATATCCTACAAGAGTCGACAGTTGACTTTCAATTGTCTTATTGATTTTAATAGACTAATTAGTTTACTTCTTCCCAAACCTTTTCTTGTCTCTTTAATTACATTGTTTATAAGCCAGTTTCCTTGTTATTTTACATAGAAGAATTATAAGTTGCTTTATTCTAGAACAACAACTCGATTTATTTATTTGATAAACGTTTTCCTGATAGAATTATTATTTATTTCACAGTTCTATAACAGATATTTAACTTTGTATATGTAGAGTAATACTGTGACCAAACTATGATGTTTAGCTAAAAAGTAGGTTACTTAAACGTATTTTTATTTCACACAATGTTAGTTGAAAGCATTGAGATTCCATGTATTGTGATGCTTGACACTTATCAAAGACAAGTAATTTCAATATTCAAAGAGCTGAGTTTTCTCGTGGCATTTGAATACATGTATCTCCATGACATATTCAGAAAAATCTGTATGTAATGTCACCTTATAGAATTGTTAGCCTTACGATTGTTAACAATAGAAAATATCTTTCAAAAATATTACCACTAAAAAACAACAGTCAAATATCAATTGTTCGATCGTATATTAAATAAAATGTACTTTCTATTCAATGACAAGTATTGACTGTCACTATTGTGACATTTTAATGAACACATGTTACGATATTATACACGTTGTTTTTCTTTCTTTTTTTTCACCTTTGCAACACAGTATACATTGAACTATTCAATCTGGAAGGATACTTTTTCCTTTTTATATCAAATTCTTTTGACAGTTAAACTATATATGGAGTTGTAAATTAGTTTCAATGTAGAACATATATGAATAGTTTTGTTACATAGGAAAAAAAAGGACAGATAGCTTGTTTGGATAGACATCAGAAGAAAGAATAAATAGTACTTGGCAACAATTAGGAAGGACAGCCCAAGATAGAATAGGCTATTTGGATTCTGGTCAGTGGCATATGTTTTCCAAGGAGTAACTGGTATAAGCAAGTAAGTATATCGCATCACAAGAAAATATTACTATACAGCCGTTAAATCAAAATAATTGTTAAATTTACATCTTACAGTTGATTCATCGACTTGTGAAATTTAATCTCACTTATCAGATGATATCAGGTACGTTCTGGCTTTGTACTTTTATGAAGTGTCTAAATGACATAAAAACATAAATTTATAGGGTAAAAAATAATTGCACACTAAACTCATCCCAAGTAAAGTAGTACAGTATGATCAAATAATAAAATTCCATTTGTTTTGAAAAAGCAAACAAGATTCTGACTTTTTGATTGAGATTATGAATTGACTGATGTTAGACCACCATTAAAAACCTGGAAGCACTGGACGGCCGTCTCGCCCCATTGTGGCACTCCTCAGCAGTTTATAACTACGATCTCACTCGCGGTATTCGAATCCAGAGCCTTCAGTCTCGCACGCGAACGCTCTACCTCTAGACCACTTAGCCGGCATCCAACGGTGTTAATGTCTAACCTACACCAATTCACGAAATTGCGCGACCATCTTTCATTGTACTGAGGCAGATACCTGTCTCTATCTGACATGGATTAGCTCCATTGGTTACGGCTTCTCATTAGAACCTCGAGAATTCCCTCACGAAGCTGGTCAATAGTGAACATCAGTGGATTCATGATCTCAATCAAAAGCTTGATAATCTTCACAACCCTATACTGATAAAATTGTGACTTCTAAGAAAATGCAGAAAAATTGAGATTAATGTTCATTATAGTAGGAAGAGTAAAAAAAAGAAAATAACCGTGAAGAATGAGTTCATGTTGTGAAATATAAGTAAACATATTCAGGAAATTTAAATCTATTTACCTGGTTCAACATGACGTAGATCTGGTCTAAAGTCTAATTGTGGTTCAATAATCAATATTGTTTCAGCAGCAGCTTCACCCATATTATTTCTTGCAACAGCTTTAATATGTAATTCACCAGGTGTACCAACACGATGAAATTCTAAATTACTAATACCACCATCTTGAAATATTCTCCAATTTCCTCCACCTCCAGACTAATGATAAATAGGTGATTAGAAACAATGGGAATTCATAGTTTATGTATTGAAAATGGTCTATTTTTTATGTTGTTCATTAATACATATATTATGTGTTTAGGTTCAAATAGAATTAATTTCTCAGCTAAAAATTCACTCAGTAAATATTCTATTACTATCTTGTTATCTTAAACATCACCACTGCAATGCTGAAAAACATGAGCTTCAAAATCAAACTGATGTTTATATCATTTTGTACAGCGATTAACTTATCAGTTAGAACTTGATTTTAGAAAACGAGCTAATCTTAATATGTTTATAATTCACTTCATTAACACTCATTAAGCAATGATAAAGTTTATGATAGTAAAGCCAACAATCTATATTGCTTCATACTTTAAACCATCCAGCTTAGAGAGTAAAACATCTCGAATACTTGTATCTTGTACTATAAATATTCCTCATCATGTCAAGATGAATAATTTAATATTATCTATTCCGACTTGTAGAAAACATGAAAATATTATGAACTACATAGACACCTATACATATAATTTTCCGTAGCTGACATAAAAAGCAAACTTTTAACATACTAGTTGGTTGAATTAAATGTATACATAATTTTTTCCAGAACCTAATTGATACCTTATAGTTATCATATAGAACTCAAAATCTTAATGATAGATATATATGCGAAATACAGATCCCAGTTACTGTCAAGACAAAGATAGGAATTTGATTTCGACATAATGTTTGTTTTCACCTTTAGCCTATACTAAATAAGTTTGATAGAATTACAACACGTAAATAACTTTATTTATAGAATAATAGTTGGTTGAAGATCAATGCTATAATGTCCCATCCTAAGTACAGATAAAACTCTCAGAATCCTGTTCCAACGTGATCTCCTGTTTAAGTGACTTAACATCATTGTGTGCGTCTAGATATTTTAGGCAGTCAAAGCTAATCCAAAAAGAGTTCCAGACTTATTTGATACTTATCAATAAAATGTAACCGTGATTGTTAGGGCACAGATTTTCCAGTGAAATGGGATTGAACTCTCATCAGGTTGTATGTCAGACATTTTAACTGAGTTATTCATGATAGGCAACACGAAATTGGTAGTTATATTTTGTCAATTTTGTGCCCCGTTTGAATTGTATGCTTCAATATCGATGATCTTGGTTTTCTACCTCCAACATTGATCAGATCTTTTAACACCTATTGGTTTTGAAGCCATCTAGGCACATGTTCCATGACCCTTGAATGCATTGTTCGATTACTCCTCCCTACATATATGTGTTATACTTTGGCCGATTGTGATCTGAACATCTACATCCTACAGAAGATCTATCATGATCTAACTTCTTCGTACCACCACCTATGATTACCAGGCGATCTTTGAAAAGTGATCTGAATGTCAGACATCAATGTGTATTACTATATTTCATAACTATGAAGTTACCACCGTCACAATATAGAACAACATTAGTTCTAGTTGGGAATGAAGAGTTTTACAATACACTCTCACTAATCAGCATATATTTATATTTAAATTTCATAAAAATCATTTGAATTTCCCAGACGTCTTGAATAATACTATTGTTGAGAGGTACTTAAAAATATTCCGATTATGTAGTCTCATGCTGAAATTTAATTTTGTTGAGTTTTTAACTGAATACTGTTTTCAGTAAAAGTAATGAAGTAGATTGTTAAGTAGATCAACCTCCATCTCTTCAGTATAAACTTTATTTATTGCTATCTTATTTATTAGTTTAGAGCCTTAATGAAAGATGAGTTGAAAATATATGTTCCTTCGGTCGACTTTTGTTTTTAATGTCTTAATCAGAGTATTTACATTTAAGTAACATTCTGTTATGAAAGAATAAGAATTAACAGAAAGGGGGTTTTGTGGATATTGTAATAATTTAATAGTCGGATTCATGAGTCGATTAAAGCTAGACTACAATCGAAAACCTGGAAGCACAAGATGGCCGTTCCGTCCTAGTACGGGACTCCTCAGCAGTGCGCATACCTGATCCCCCAGTAGGATTCGAACCCAGGACTTCAACAAACAATAGAATATGTCAGACATCAACACTGTCAGATGCCAGCTCAGTGGTCTGGAGGTTAGGCATTCACACGTGAGATTGATAGGTCCTGGGTTTGAATCCCGCGGATTAGATCGTGGATGCACACTACTGAGGAGTCCCGTACTAGGACGAAACGGTCGTTCAGTGCTTCCACGTTTTCCATTGTGGTCTAGCTTTAATCGACTCATGAATTCAACTACTAAATAATGATTAAGTTTGATTTTAAACAACTGTATATAAATGTCCAGTATTATTTTTAAAATTAATAGTATGAGTACGAGTACAAAGAAAATTATGTGGTCAGATTATTAAGATGTAAATCACGTAAAGTTATGAATTTATGTGTGGACTAATGAAGTAAGATGTTTGTTGGTTGACTGTCATTGTGTTGAATGAACATCGTCTAGACTACACCCAGGTTCCATATACTTGAGCATGAACAGTGTAACTCAATGTAAAGTGATCCAATTCGTTGTATAGCATATCGCTTGTGTATCCGGCGTAGTGGTGGTATAACTCTCGATTATCGTTCGGCTATATTATCTTATAACTAATAGTATATCGTACTATAAAAGAATATAGAGCTATCTAGTTAAATAATAAAAGTTCAGTCATTTATAAACTTACTGAGGCTATCAATTCCCCATTAATATACCAGAATATTTTAGGCCTTGGATAACCACCTGCTTTAACAATAAATTTAGCCGGCGAACCTTCAGTGACAGTGACAGCAACAGGGAGAATATCGAATGACGGTGCAGATGGCGGTTCTTCTTCTTCTCTTTTAACTGTATCATAACTATGAGGGAATTAAATGACAATAATAAAAATAATTTATATCATCATTACAAAAGGTCTTAATTTCTCATGTTTCGCTGATATTCTTGACTGAATTTTGACCGGTATAGGTTGGCACTATGTACGTTCTGTGAGGACTACCTATATATAATCAATCTTCATAACTTTTTATAGAACATGTGGGTTGTGGCTAGAATTGAGACTCTAGTTGTGCGTTATATCTAATTTAGAACTCGTCAGCTGAATTGATATACAATCTTGTATCTGTATTCACACCGCTTGATGTACAAGTACATCTTGCTAGAGGGTCCCAAGTAGGAAGGAACCTGTAAGTCCTAGATAGATGTTTCATCCTAATATGGGACTCCTCAGTAGTGCTCATTCACAACATCACCACACGGGGGAGAAATCAGGACCTGCAGGGCTAATAGCAAATCTGGAACATTAGATTACTAAGTCAATATCCAGTGGTGCACATGTATAACCTCAAATAATTCACGATATTACGCGACGGTTTTTTGATTTTTTTATCAAACAAATAGTTAAAGACATAAGTTTTTCATATACATTTCATTACCAAACAACGATTTCATATCTATTCTATTAAGTTCTCTTTAATTAAGCCCATAAAACAACTGTACAATGTATGTTGCTATTACTTCTTGTGATTTTCTTTCATTTTGTGTCTCAACTTTTAATTCTATCAGTTTTCCAAACAGAAATTTAAAATCATTATGAGAATAGTTAAACAGTGGCTTGCAGTTGAATGCAAGTCGTGAATTTGTTTTAGATATGCTTACACTTTAATGTTGATGTTCATATTAAAAATTGGATTTTAGTACGTTCAATGTGTTATCCGCTAACCTACTGTGTCCAAATAATCAGTATCTTGTATGTATTATTATCCCGTTGTTGATATTAAAGACTTCAATCGTTTAATTTTTTTAAAATTGCTCATGATTCAATAGCAATATCAACATAATGCTCACAGGATGGATAAATGCTAAAAGAAATCGATCAACCGCGGGAGGACTCACGGTATACCGTGTATATAGTCAACTAATTCGTATTATAATCTAATATACATATATGCATAAATAAAAAAATGAAAAATCATAAAAATTTGCTACCAGTTGTCAGTATAGATTCCTAGATATAATATTTCTTTATATCTGAAATGAATGGCTATTGGAATCACTTCATGATACTATGTGTATTTACAATGATTTACTCTATCTAAGATTAATATATTTCTTAGACTTGACATCATGAACCGATTATAGTTAGACATTCATTGAAAATCAGTCAGTATTAAACAGCTTTTTCCTCCTAGTATTGAAAGGACAGTTCATAATAATGGCTTTGCTGCTCTATATAACACTTGTGTGAGCTTATTCTAACTTTCGAACAGACGGATAACTGAGATAGTATATAACTATTGCGTCATTTTTACCGTTTTAATTACTCTGTTCTGTTCATAAGACATATCTCTTTTATTTATATCCTTATGGTTCTGCACTTTTATGTATTGTATGTGTTTGTCCATACTCTTGATATTGTCTTATTTAATGCTTATCTTCTTGTTAGCATTATGCATTGTCCATTATGACTAATATTAACACTTGTATTGAGTAATTTTTTGACTTTCTATCTTCTCTACTTCATATATATTTCTGTTCGTCTGTCTTCTAAACTAAATGTATGAAATACATACATCGTAACCGCTTTCGTATTCGAATTTTTATTATCGGAGTTGTATTGACGTAGTTAGTTGATGGAATCTATGTGGACTTAAGAAGTATGACTCATGTTCCATCACTATTACTATCATCACTCGTTCAATTTGAAGTCAAAACTAAGTTTTATATCCGAGCGAAGATTAAATCACGAGTAACTCCTGAAACATATTAATCGACTTATATTATCTATATATTCTTATGGTGTAACTATTCAATAATTAGATTATTGGCCACATTTGGCCAAATATGGCTGTGAACGTGGCAGGCAGTAGTCAATATACGGAACATAGCTTAAGAGCCGTAAATCGTACAATAATAAATTATAGGTCAAAATAAAGCTTATAATAAGAGGAATATAAATGTACATAATCTAATTATTGAATAGTTATACCATAAGAATGTATAGATAATATTAGTCAATTAATGTCTCAGAAGTTACTCGTGAGTTAATCTTCGCTCGGATATAACAATAGGGACTAAGACACCAATCCTGGTGTAGATTAGAATATACTTAACAAGTTAATATAACAATTATATTAAATAAATTCATTATGTAACCTACCCTGCCATTGCATCACTTTCCCAAGCATCCAAACTTTGAAGATATGTAATTGATTCTTTCGATAATACTGAACTAGTGACAATATGTTCATCTGCATTACATCTGTGATATAAATTGAGGTGGGGGGGGTAGTATAAGATATATTATTTAAAGGCAAAACATTTTCAATGGAAACATTCATTTGTCAACAGATTACACAAGTTGATCGACAGAATCAGCAATGTAGGACAAATAAGACTAAGTCGTTTATATGAGGGATCGCAAGAACACTTACTGACATATAACGTAAATATATTGATTATGAGCTAATTCAGTAAAAATTACTTATATTTCAATAAATGGGTAAAATGGATAAAATCGATAAGAAACAACAGTCATTTAGAACAGTTTGAATCAAATAATCGTACCATTGAAGATCATCGGGACACCGAAGTGTTCGATGAAACCTTATTTTCAGATAAACTGCTGTTCGTGTAGCTATTATTCAAAATATCATGTTAGTCAACAAATGAACTTATTCTTTGTGAAACACTGTACAGCAAAATTAAATAGTTTTTATCATGATTCGTAAGTAACTAATAAATGGACAAATTTTGTAAGTATGGATTGAACAAGCTTGAGATGTGAAATATCATCTATGCTTAAACTAGTATTTTTGTTTTGAAGCTCAGATATACTGTTTTTATTCACAGTATTTATCAATTCCAGGTTATACATCCTAATACACTCTACATCATTAGATCTGGAGATAAACTTTGTCGTTTTCATCTTGACAACATTGTTTTCCACAATGTCTTATAGGAGTATCATTTTCGTGAGTTGCAAAACTACTTATCAATCTAAAAATAAACACAAGCATACAGTCAATGAAATCAATAGTCTCGTCATCTACCATACATATTCATGTAAATGAAAACTTAAATATTATTTACTTACTGTAATTCAACCACGTTGCTTTGTACCTGTCCTGCTGCATTGCGTGCTACACAAAAGTATGCTCCATTGTCTTCTGGATAACAATAATGAATATCTAGCATAGCAAATCCCCTGTCCAATACAGCATTAAAACGACAGCCTATATAAAAAAAATGTTTCATAAAGGTTTGTGTATTAAATTAAAATGAATTAAGTGTTTAATGTTCCATGAAAATAAATAATTGCCTCTATTAATCAATTCTGAGGAAATAGAACGTTAATAAAGTGAACAGGTGTGATGAACTAACGGTTTCGATCAAGTTTCAGATCTGAAAACAAAAAATTATGATCCCCCTTCATTTAAGTATAGTTATTTATGCTAAATATATTTTTCTAATGACTGAACATGAAACAATGGCGAAACATAGGAATCAAAACCCACTACTGAAGGTTAGCGGACATGAGTTTAACAACTTCATATTTTGTATAAAAGGATTTGCAGAAATTGTAGAGCTTTCTTAGTTTACATCATAAACTGACATTGATTAGATCACCAATGAAAGTCGTAAAGTACTTGATGGCCGTTTGCTCTTAGTATGGGATGTCTCAGCAGATAGCACCCCCGATTCCACTGCAGGAGATTAGATCCAGGATGTTCGGCCTCAAAAGTGAACCCCCTGACCTCCAGACCACTAAGCCGACATCCTATTGATGTGCATACCCAACTTCAATCAATTTGTGATATTGCGTAACCGTCGTCCATAACTTGCAGTAGATAAGTATCTAAAACCCGACACAGTTGTAAGACACGGTAGTCAAGCTAAAATCATGTTTGAATCCAAATGTATTATTCGTAAAATGATCTTGATCAATTCTCAGGCCAATATATATTTTCAGTAAAATTGGTCAACTTATTATAAGCACAAATGGTGTAAGGGTAACGAAGTTTATGCAGAATAAAATGGGTTCATCAATTTATTTCACATCTTACTAGCTGTCTACAATCAAAAAGTACATTTGTTAATATAATTAGAAACAAACTGTTTAACATACTTTAGTTTGTGCAGTTTAGATAAATTTTCGAAATGTAAATAGACGAATCATATGTATGAACGAATATAGTTAAGATCGATATGCATTTTTATGTCAAAGAGTAGTAATTCAGAGCATAGGATGTAACGTTATAGTTGCTAGTAATCATACTCAAAATAAGCGGAGTTATTTGCGCCCAATGAGACTAATAGTTCATGATTTCAATCAATAATCTCCACAACTTTTATACTGGTAATAGTTGATTGCATAATCACTCAACATGATAAGAAAGAAAAGCAAATCAATCTATGAGTATATATATATCAGGTCAGAAACGTTTGATATCTCTTGCTTCTACAAGACGGAGTAAAATTAGTATTGACTGTTTGTTAATTATTGCAAATTCATAACCTACATTTGCTCCATGTTCACTATCTAAAAGACACCTGACAGCTACACTTGTGAAAATCTTATTGCCTTTTAGGCATAAATTTCTAGGACTATCTTCAGAAAAACCTAGTGGAAATTCTTCTGACTATCCTTCTCGCATACTTACTAAATCAAGTACATATTAGATCATAGATACAATTGGAGGTAATGTTGGATGCGTACTGATTTACCTTTAAATGGTATAACGAACACTTGTTGTTGTTTATTGAAACCAACTGGGGTCCATGAAAATTTTCTATCAGTGTCGCTTTGATTATTTCTTCGATTGTACCGGGAAACTCGTCACTAAATTACTACTTTTCGACATAGAAATGCATATTGATCTAAACTGCATTCGTTCATACATTTTATATCCCATTATTCTGATAACTACGATTCGTCTATTAATATTTCGAATATTCATGTAAACTGCACAAACTAAAGTATGTTAAACAGTTCATTCCTAATTATATTAACAAATGTACCTTCGGACTATATACAGCTATTAAGAAGCTGTGAAATAGATCTACGAACTCATTTTATTTCACACGACTTTATTTTCTTGCACTCTTTAAATTCATCAAGGGATTTAGTTGCAAGAAATTAACATATCACATTGAGTGTTGAAGGTCCTGTGTTCGAGTCCCTCGTGCGGGATCGTGGATGCGCACTGCTGTGAAGTCCCATAGCAGAACGAAACGGCCGTCCAGTGCTTTCAGGTTTTCAGTGGTGGTCTAGTTTAAATTGACTCACGAATTCAACTATTAGTTTACTACAAACTCCACAAACCTCAATTGTAATAAAGAAAAAGATGTCATCTACAAAAAATTTGTTCAGTAGTCTGTCTCGTTGTTTCAATCAATTTAAAATTTTTAAATTTAGTACATAGTTCAACGGTTGTATTATTGACGATCGTAATGAGGTACAGCTACAAAATCTTCCGGATAATCATCAAATGATTAAACAATCCAAAAAAAAAGATTTTCTCCACTAACTCTAATTATGATAGTTTGTATTAGCTAAATCTAGAATACAAATATTAAAATTATTTATTCCAAAATGATAATGATTGATAAATGACATCAGTTTAAAGATCTGAGCTACATGTTAGATGATATAACCTGTGATATAAACTACTTCTTTCATTTTCTCAATTTAATAATCATTATACGTGGATATTCACAACTAAAAGAAGTTTCAGTGAAACAAAACTTCAACCTCTTTAAACATTTGCATTACATAGTCGATATAAAAAAAAGTATAATTATACATACCCATGCTAACAGGTTTGCCATCTTTATACCATTCAACGGTTAACGAAGGATCATTTGTGGGTTCTACACATGTTTCGAAATGTGCTGGAGCCGATTCACGAAGACCAACTTGTGGTGCAAGTGGCTTAAGAAAATTTGGTGGATTTGTTGGACGTATATCGTCATGATAACGATTAGCTCTATCTAATCCATTTCTTACTAAATGATCTTCCATCATAGCTAGATTTGCAATCATAGATTCTTCTGGTAATTGAGTTTCAGTGACAACTCCCTCTTCTGGTATAATTCTGAATAAATAAAATAGAATTAACTTATGTTTGATAATTAAATAAAAAATGAAAACGACTAACAAACGGAGACTACACAAGGGATACTTTTACGAGAAAATAAAACTTACGAAACAGTTGAACCGATTACCCTATCTAATTTAAAATTTCAGGGAACGCGAGCTAGAAAATGAAAATGGTTGACCGAAACTGCATTAACCTTTTCTTATACTACAATTAGATAGATATTCCCATTTTAATATAAAACTGTAAAACTTGTTGACAAAAAAGTGAAATGCAGTATATAATCTTTCGATCAACGAAGATAGAACTTACGGCCGAATTTGTAGACAATACTTTAGACTGGAGAAATCAACACCAGACAGTCTCTCTTACTCATAGTATGAGATACTTCACTGTTAATCAACCAAAACCTTATCAGAGGTCGAATTCTGGAAATTCATATATATATATATATATATAACATTAAGTGAGTTGTTTTCAGATCAATATTAGATACCTTATGATTGTGTATCGTTGAGGCGTTTCAACTAACCTCATTATTTGATAACAATGAGTTCTACCACGCATATATCTGTAATTTCTTATCGTCTGATTTCAAGAAACAAAACTCAATAGTAGGTCAGTATAAATAATGACCGGATTGGTTCATCTTAATAAAATAAACTGTAACATTACTGAATATTCTGAGTTTACCAAGGGAATGCTACGCTTAACACACTTATAATTTTTATATTGAACTATTTATAGTAAGTTACTCTACCAGAGTTGATTGTTCCTAAAAATAATCACCGATATGAAGAGAGTTTACCCACATTGTGTAAAATTCCACAAACATTTCACTAATAACCTTGTGACTTGAAGCAATATCGAAACAATCCGCACAGAACGCCCTTATATCAAAATAAATTGATCACTTGCAATCATAAACATCAGTTGGAAGATTCAAACAATCAATAGAAATGAATCATTTCACTAATACTTACTCCGTTAAAACAAATATTGTGGGACTCCTGGATGAGAATATCACAAGACGGGATCATGGATGCGCATTGCTGAGGAGTCCCACAATAGAACGAAACGGCTGTCCAGTGCTTCCAGGTTTTTCATAGTGATCTAGCTTCAATTGACTCATGCTCTCAACTATTAAAATCACTATAATATCTACAGGAACCTCGTCTCATATTATTAGAAATTATCGGGTCTAAACCTTGGTAACCATACTTACAGACACATTAAATAGGGTTAGTGATGTGTGGGCGAGAATGATAATGATTGGTTGTTTGCTTAGTCAGACATGTAGATAGTCTGACAGGTGTCATGAGTTATATATTCCCCTATCCTTATAATTATTATTGATTGTTCATTGTTTTTGGATTGCGTCGGGATTTTGGTGTGGAAATATATTTACGTTGTGGTCAGGCTAATCACGTTTCCTTGATCTGAGTTGTTTTGATGTCCTGTAGAATAGACATTTGGAGGGAATCTAGTGTAGATATTCGTCTAAGGTAAATTAACGTCCCACATGTGTAAAAGTGGAAACCCAACCGTTATAACATTAGACGAAGTAAAACCGAGCATTGTAACAGTTAGTATCTTGGGAACGTTTGTATTTGTTGTTATAATATAATGTATTATTACATCAATCAATGAACTGTTTTGTGACCCAAATTAAGAACCCTTTATCTTCTGTACAAATCGCGTTTAAAATGAAAATATACAAGTTGATGATACGGTATGATATGCAGAGCGATTAGACAACCTCTGAGAAAACATTGAAAAAATGGAACTTTTAAATTGTACATATTCCTTAAAACTAACAGTTTCTATCGTAATATAACTAGTTAGTAGTAGTTATTATAATGAACGCTTAAGTTTATATTGAAACTGACAAATTTTTTTTTATTTGAGTTATCTTGTTTCATAATATTTAATTGATGAGTAGCGTGAATAAAGACACTTCAACTGCCATGAAATTAGTAATCTACACGTTACATGTAATCAAATCTATATGTCGGTGAAATGGTACTTGTTTCACTGGTGCCAATACAAGTAGACCATTATGTCTCATACACAGTAAGACAATTTTTTTATCTAAACATTACAACCAGTTGCTGTTTTAATTAACTAAAATGTGCAGTTTATCACTACTCAGTTTAATAACCAACTCAATGATTAATTCTGATAATCACAAGATAATGAGAAAATTTTTTGGTGGTATAACTCAGTGATGATGTTATCAGTAATTGGATTTACCACATTCCCGTAACATCTTACATTGTCATGTAGAAGAAAAAAAAGCGCTGGTGAAAAATGAAACAGAAGCTTCATTGAAAAAAACAGTGATTATAATCACTCACGTCACATGACAACTGCTTGATTGGTCTTGGCCTTGACTGTTCGTTGCTACACAGGAATAATCTCCATTATCATCCTCATTCACGTATAGAAAATCGAGCACTGCGTAGCCTCGATCAAATGTCGTTGTGAAACGAGAAGCTTGGAAAAGAAAAAGACAACATGGATTTACTAAGATAAAATATTGATCCACTTAAAAGAATACACAATCTGTTATCTTAACACACTTCGTTACACACCAAATGTCTCAAACGTACTATGGCAAATATGTACTTCAAACATTTCTAACATAATTGGATAAACTAGTTAGTGTATCATGTATCGATTTATATTCAATAATTTTGATGTTTGATTATATTTCCTTGAAAAAGTATGGACCAGATATACAAGAGAAACATTGAATTTACTTAAAATTCAATCAGAGATTTTAAGAATATATTCTTATTAATATAAAGCCTAATGTGTGGAAGATCAAAACTGTGAAAAGTTGTACTTTTATGCTATTTTTGGCTGTTTTAAAACTGATTTAACACAGATTATTATGGAATATACGAGAATGAGCACTGTAAATTTTGTGTTGCTTACTTGTTACGTTTCTTTTGAATTACATTTGCATTGAATACGAAAGCAATTTTTTTATTCATACGTTATGCTGAAAGCGTATCCCATAGGATTCCCATATTTTATATTTGTTTCATGAAATCACCCTAGTTAAACCACCACTAAGAATCAAAAACCGCTTGACTGAAGCTTCGTCTTGGTATGGAGTTAATCATCAGAACGTACCCGTGATCACCGTCATGGGATCAAATAAAAGATCTGTGATTTCGCGCCCGGACCCTTAACCTCCAAACGAGGGGAGTCGGGATTCAGCGGGTTACGGGTCTAACCTCAACCAATTCACGATATTATGTGACTACTTTCCAATATCAACCCATGTGCTAACTTAATTTCCCATGTACAAATACAGAGGGTAAATTGTTGGAAAAGGTACAAAGAAAAATGGTCAAAGAAACCTACCCGTCTTGTCGAATAGAAAGACTAGCTGAGACTTAATCACGATCTACAAAATACCGTATAATAACTTTTTTCTGATGTCCTCAATTTATTTGTCTCTCAGAACAGAGGATTTACCAGGATACTCCAATATCCTAATCAACTACTTGTCTGGTGGCTACCGACTTTTCTATCGAATCAACAGGCAGCGGAACGCCTTACACCTCAACACGTGGATGAATTTTTAATCAGTCAATTTATTCAAAATGAAGTCGGATCAGCTGGAGACTTTCTGTAGCCAGGTGTAGTAAAGTCACCTCAGCCTCCTATACTTCTCAAACTTAAATTGTGACAAATTTTGTCACAGTAGTCTTTATGTATTTATTTGCTATTTCTTCCTAACCTTGAGTTTTAATTGTTATCTCATAACTTTCTACTTTTTGATTGCTTTCTTTCTTCTCCAAGTTCTTCAGTTTTCATATCATTAACTTTCTACTGATATATAGGTGTGAAGTCTTAGTATCTGTTTTCAACTCCACTTGAAATCGATGAGGAATGATGAGATAATTTCCTTGAATAAATCTGAATAAGAAAGAAAGATTAGTTCAGCGAAGAGTTCTCTTTTCGACGAATTCGCCGAATTTAATGTCATAATGGGTGTATTCCGTTTATTAAATCTGAATAGTTTCGCAGACTTAATTGCAATAATGAATAACGGAATACAGTAAGTTAAATTTGAAAATGTTTTTGGATACATATATCTCATAAATCTGTTAATTCAGACAGACAATAAGAAGCGTAGGAGAAAAACATACCTATTGTTATCTTTGATCAGTGTACATACGTACCAAGTTCTGGACTGCTCATTTTTAGCTGACCGATTGAGTGTATCAAATCAAAATAAATTTCGTGCTTAAAGGCATCAGGTCCACGTCAATATCATGAGTTTGTAACAGTAAACTAATGGTCCATATGAAATAAATGATTGTATGACCCTAGTGAAGTATGCTAGAAGGTCATTAAACTATTGTTCATAAATATACACTTAAAATATTCTATCAAATGAATTTTATAATAAATCTGTCTAATATGTATAAAAATCTAATGATAAATTGGAAGAACATAGTATAATGAGGATTTACAATACAAATACATACCTGCTGGTAATGGCTTGCCATTTTTATACCATTCAACAATCAATGTACTATCACCAGCCGGACGTACACGAGCAGTTATATTAGCTGGTTCACCTTCTGCTATGGTTAGTTGGCCTACAGGATGGACAACAAACTGTGGTGGACCAGATGAGTCAATACCATCTATGCTAACCGAATTACGCATTGGCTAAATGAAAACAAAAACAATCGGTTGAATTAGATTGTAAAAGAAATTACAACTTTAGTGTACATAAAAGTATTAAATCATATTTATATAAACAGAACTGGTTCATAAGCGAATCATGAGTGGAATGCGTGTGATTCTGTAAAATATGTATATTCTCAACTTCTAAGCCATTCTGAACTATCAGGTAATATCTCCCTAATAATTTCCTTTATCTATGTTTTCTTCAGCTGCTTTTCATGCATCATCAAGTGTTACGACTATTGAATTATAAACATAAATCTTTAATTACCACGTAATGACTGTCTACACTAACATGGAACATAATCTTTATAATATAAATATTCACCGGGTTCTTTTGTAACGATTCTACAAAAAAACAAAACTAGGATGTAAAGTTCATGATGAAGGTAGCTGACACTAGTTTCGATATAGTCATATGAAGTAATTTATTGAACGTATTTACTGAATATGTTTTTGCAAATTTACATTATTTTGTTTCAGATATTTTTTATCAATGAAACTATAAACGAATTAACTAACTATAATTAACAGAAATTGTAGAAGAATATAACATATGTAGGCAAATGAATTGGTGGGTCATCTCATTATTCATTTCCTAAACATTAATATTGCAATTCATATGAATAAGAATTTTAAACTGATGATCTTCATTAATCAGTCAGCTACAAAATAAGACCAGACACATATATTCATCGGTCTAAGTTGTCACACCCCATTAGCACAACAAGATAAATACCAAATTCATAGAAGTAGTTACTTCAATGGTAATAATTTATAAAAGAGAGATTGTGTATAAGGATACAATGCAGGAAGAAAGCAAATTAATTCGTAGAAAGAGAAGTATAAAACAATTTTAATCTCACAATTTAAGGGAAGACAAAGAGTGTATACACTGACGCCATTGTGATCGATTCTGATCTAAAGTAATTGATTTACATACTCAGATAAATAACATGAATTGATGAATATGAGAAGTGAAAGAATTGAAAATCTGTTGATTGAAGATACAAACTGATCATATTTGCATCATTATGAACAGTTAAGAATCAGTTTACAAGAAATGTAAAAAAATATTAGGCAAAATGATGATTAATTAATTGTATTGGATGTGTGATTGGTACATGAAATAAGTTTATGCCAATTTATTTAACGTAAATTAAAAATGATCTAATTACATATAAAGGTGAAGAACTATAGGACAGAAATTGGAATATGTAAAAGTTACGGAGGCTGTCGAGTTACATATACAAAAAGAAGAAAAAAGTATTGATGACAAGGAGATTTGATGATTCAGAGAATATTGTACAGCAAAGTGTAGGTTGTACTTGTTATATCCCGACGAGAATAATGATTGGTAACTGTTGGGATCTGTTTAGAGATTAATACTATACATATATTTTTATTTATAATTGTTAAGTAACTAAACTATGTATATTCATATTCCTCTTATTATAAGCTTTATTTTGACCTATGGATTATTATTATACAACTTACTATTCTTAAGTTATGCCCATTTTATTCATTACAGTCACAGCCATTTTCTGGCTTGATCTTGTACAAATGTAATTATCTGTTTGTTATGTGGTTTGTTGGCTTGTATATAAACCAATTATGTTTGAAATATATTATTCATATAGTGGAGGCTGAAAGTGATTTTCTGGGTTTAACAGGCAGGGCTAGCGGGAAAAGGATCAATCAAGACTCTAGGCTGTTTGTACAGGTGTATGCTTCATTAGTTGATCGTATATGTCCGCGTATCTAAATTTGGCAATCGTATTCGCAGTAATCGTAAAGTTAAGAAAATAACAGTACTATCATGCTAATCATGAGGCCATTGCAAAATGGGCAAAAGAATATAATCATGTTTCAGATAAAGTTCAAGGTAGATACAATGGTCTATATTGTACCAAAATATAATATTGAATAAAGCCATTATTATTAGTGGTAATAATAACACAAAACAAGTAATCAGTAAAATACAAGCTCAAGCAGCTTCATCAACAAAAGTGACACATTAAAATGGTATCTACTCATTTGTCATATAGTGTTAGTCCAATTTGTATCTGTGATTCAGATGAAGTAGATAATTCAGAGCGCGTGATATAACCATTAGGCCTTTTTATCAAATACAAGTCCATTAGATGCAGTACTAAATTCACTGACTGAATACGAATCAAATGTGACAGAGGAGAATCTTTTTTCCACAGGATAGTGAATCGGAGAAGAAATTCATTTTTATGTTTTCTAAAACTTAGAATGTAGATATTTTGGAAACATATCGCCATAGATACGTCGATAGAACATTTAGGAACCCGCCTCCATACTCATACCTAGACGATCCATACTACAAAATGTTACACGATCGTTTCCTTGGTTTACATTTTGATAAACGAAAAAATTACGAATTTGTATTTGTGTTCCTTCAACTATTTGAATGAACTTTGAATTCATCAAATATCATAAATGATTAGAAATATTCAGTTTTAACGGTATTTCGAAAATTATATTCAAATTCAGTACAAAATGGTTGCTTGTTCCACTTGAATTAATGTATATCGTGGAGACTGCAGTAATCACCATGCCTTCAACGTCCTACAACAGTTGAAAATCGTCCTTCGCAGAACCGTTGTTTGACAACATTAGTCAATACACTAGTCACAGATGCTACAGCTGCATATGACAGTAACGGAGTTGACATCCTACGTAGGGATTAAAGTAAAAATTAGTGTTCGCGAATTATTCTAAAGAGAGTTAGGTCGGCGAACAAACAAGACTCGAAGATCCTACTGATATAACTTTTCAAAGCGTACTGTGAAACATCTATATTCCTGATTAGAATAATTTCTGTAATACAGAAAATAGGGTAGATGGATGGCATAGAGGCTTTAGTCAACTAGTTAGTCTTACTCTTCCAAACGTATGGAAAATGATTAGTACTCCAGGAAAGGAACAGGGACTAACTGGGATGATACCCGAAGAGTTTGTGATAGAAGTTCAGCAACAGCATATATGAAAGAGGTTCAAGAAGATAATAGTATAGAATAACCTGATAGTAAACGATTATGAAAACAGATTGATTACTAGACTATTTACGCAGAATATTAAGGACATTTAAATCGTCTATTTAGACATGTAAAACTGTTATAAAAATTGTATTGTAATTATACACAATTACAAGCACATTGTAAGAAAAAGTGTTAGTAGAATATTCTGACTAGTATATACTATATCGTGTATTGAAGCTTCAACAATCTATTACTTCTTAAACGAGGTTATATTTTGTTGTGATAATTCTTTTACATAACGAATAATTTAACCGAAACGATTGAACAAATCAAAAACACTAGTTCTTTGTATAAATTATCCTACAACGAAGTAATCTTGGACATCAATTATATAGTTGCTGATTATTTGAAGCTTTTCAACAAACACGTTAGATCATGAAAGGGACTATGTTATGATGAAATAATTGATACCTTTGTAGAAAATCATGTTCCATAAAATTAGTTATGTTTTGCACTTTCGTATGTAAATATCGTCAGGAAAAAACTCACAGAGCTTAGCATAACATCAATTTGTAATTTGTTTATCCGCTTATTTCAGTAATTATTTAGAATCAGAGAAAGGTTTTGTGGATATTATGGTAATTTAATAGTTGAATTCATGAGTCAATTGAAGCTAGACCACCATGGAAAACCTGGAAGCAGTGAACGACCGTTTCGTCCTAGTATGGGACTCTTCAGCAGTACGCATCTACGATGCCGATTCGCTTCCAGGTTTTACATAGTTTTCAGGCTTCAGTTGACTAATGAATTCAACTATTAAACTAATAAGAAGTATGTTGATTGAAATATATATTCACATAAGTTATTAAAAGATAAACCTCCACTAAAATCAATCTAGATGAATCTACATTATTGTAAACTGACAAATTTCTATTTTACAAATGATTATAAACACAAAACACAAGGTTATTCAATTAAGTAAAAGTACCTCTTAAGTGGTATTCATTACAAAGTGATATTGTCTTTGTTGTATCATCCAACTCCTTCTTCATTAGTAATTATATAATTCGTCCTAAAGTATGAGTCTCCTTGACAAATTACTAATAAATGTAAGTTATTTTAATATTTTCTAAAGAATAACTATTAAATGATTCACGTGAACATAATTGATATTCTGTTTCCTTCTTAACTAATGAGAATATCAACGGTTCCCTTATAGAGAAATATCTGTGGAACTAACTAATTAACTATTCATCATATACAGTTAATTAATAAACAATTATCGATATATATCGACTTATCAAAAAACATCAAATCTAAAAGTAGTTTAATTATCGAAATTATATTCAGTGTTACTACTTACCAGTGATTTGACCTTAATTTGTTTTGACTGACCACCAGAAGGTATACGTCTGGGTACTTGTTGATCAAATCCTTGACTAGATACAATAGGTGGTAAAGTATTCTGTGTGTTGAATTGATTAGTTTGAACTTGTTGATAAGTTTGAACTGGCTGTTGTTGTTGTTGTTGTTGATAATATTGTTGTCTTTCTCTGTTATCAATTACTTGATTATTAGCTTGTGCACTCCAAGTGGATTGTGCAACTTGTGTTGGTTTCTGTTCAACTTGATTAAAATTAGTTTGTGAAGTGTAAGGTTGTGCTAGTGATTGAGGTTTTGATTGAATTTGAGAATAAACTTGTTGATTTTGCACTTGAAACTGGGGAGTTTGTGAAGGTGGTAGAGGATTTGACACGTGTTGAAATCTTGATGCCTGATTAAAATTCTGCTGGCCTGTTTGATTAACCTGATAACCGGGCTGAACGCTGATTGGCTGGGACGAAGGTGTTAGCTGATTGGTTGGCTGAAAGGATAATGCGCCTGTGTTAGCCTGTGGTGTAAATTGTGCTTGAGTTGGATAGGCAGTTCCTGGAGGAGCGTAAGACTGACTGGCTGGTCTTGCATATACCACTTGACCTGCTTGCTGTTGTGTTTCTGGATGGTAAGGTTGCTGTAGCGGTAACTGCTGCTGAGTTTGTCCAGACTGACCGAAGTAAATGACATTTGGTTGAGTGTTGTAAGAAGGTTGCGAATTATTCTGACTTACAGGATAAGCATTCAGTTGCTCCATGTTTGTAGTTTGCAAAGGAGTTGCAACAACTCGATACTGTTGCGGTTGTTGAGACTGTTGAATTTGCTGTCGATACTGAGTTGGCTGCATTTGAGACGCCTGACTAGAACCAATTGTGAAAACTTGGGGTTGCGCAAAATTTTGAAAACCTGTTTTATTAAAGTTGTTATCAGGTTGTCCAACTCCTGTCTGACTGGGATAAGCATAAAATGGGGGTGATTGACTTTGTTGCGTTGCATAATTATAAGCATTTGTGTGAGTGGATTGTTGTGGGGATACTGATGTTGGATAGGCACCATATGCTGGTTGAGCCAAGTTGACTTGGGCTCTCGAAAGATTAAGCACTTTAGTTGATGTTGTCATATTACCACTCTGAGGACTTATTTGAGAAGGTGGCTGGTACGCCATACCAACGTCTGCTGATGCCATGATTATCGTCACCGAAATCCAAAGAAACAACACTACCGTATCCAAATAACCGAAATACTAAAAACTTATAATTCAACTTATGTCCTCAGAATAAGTGAAGCAATCAAAGCTATGTTAAAAGTAGTTTGTTTTTGTTTTTCCCAGTTTATTTATAAAGCACAGATTGGTTACTATAATGAAACCCAATCTAGTTAACCTATAAATTTGGTTTAAAATTGCCTACGCACTTTTGTTTCCAACGATTGTGGGTGTTGTAAAATCAAATTCATATATAAACATGTAAATGTGTCGATTGACACTGAAATACTCTGTTGCAATTTTTAAACAGTCCATGCTTTTTTTATGTAGAAAGATCGGTTGAATACATTTCAGTAAGGGGTTGACTATAGAATTAATTCATTATATCACTATATTTATGTTAATATTGACCTTCTTGTCACAAATACTTCAACAAACGTGGGTGTATCATATGACAGTTAATGTAATAGGTTGCTTGAATAATATCTTTTTCTCTTTTTAAGATTAATCTACATTTCAGTTTTTAGATACCTGGAAAATCACTTTCAATCTGAAAGTCAATAAGCAAGTTAAGCCTTCCTGTCAATAAAAAAAATCTAAGCTTATTATTCCAATATCTCCATGTATAAACTTTCTTATGAATAGTCTTAAACTAAAACGTTAATTTTTGTTGAACTTCAATTTTGATGACCAGTAAATAGTTGTAAAAAACGGAGAAAGATTGAAGGTTTTCATGGTGTAGCTTACGAAGTGTAATTAGAACTCAATAGAAAATAGATAATCATTTATTGAATACAATGCATTAATATACGTTCTTTAGAACTAATACCATTTCCATATTTACGGGTCAGATAAATTCCAATGGTAATTTTAGTGCAACTATGTAAGACGAAAAGTTCCCAGTATCAATTAATGATTATAAGAGTGTGTAATGTTGAATAGTTCCAGATTAAGATTAAATGACTAACTGACTAGTGTTTCTATATTTTCATTGGTCCTCCAGGTTTTAGTTATCCCACTGGTTTTAGTTACCTCCCCAAAGAAGTGGAAATGAGCTTTGAGAATACAGTACCACAGGACACTGGAGAATATGTGTATTTAGGGAATAGTATACCAGTACAGTGTTCATTGTAGACATATTCTTATTGACCTACACTACTCTTTTCCTATCACGTTTGGAATCTTTTATCTAAGCCAAAAGCTTTGATAAGCTACTACTAATAGGTAGCTTCATATGGATTTATACAAATGCAGTTGTCAAAGTTACATACATTCCCGAGGTATACATATAGACATAGATGGGCACGGTTGCTAGAATGCTGTACATGTAATTACGGAAAACGTAGGAATGTCCACATCTCCCACAAATACACATATGTATAGAAGTTTTCACTAGCAAGTTTACGCGATATATGCATATATAGAATGCGTAAGCTAGGCCCCATAAATTCTATAGTATACAAATAGGCATAGATGCGAACGACCTTGGCCCTCAAGCCCAGAAGGATTTGCACTGAATGAACATAAAGTATTCAAATCAGTATGTAAGTCACCATGGGCGATGTGCTCACTTCACGTTCTTACCACAAGTCTGTTTTAGTATCGACCACTGTGCACTAGTTACGTTACAGCTTATTTTTTAATCTCTTTCCCGCACGTGCCATACCTTATAGGCCCTTTCAGACTAGTGTGTTCAGGTACCCAAAGGGAAATTTTCTTTAGCGCCTCAGTCGTGGTCCCAATTCAATAAGAGCTCTCTTCTCATTCAATCAAGGTTAAGACAGAGCGGGTGATTAGTCTGATCTCCAGCTGACTATAGATTAGTTGGTCAGCCTGGTCTCCTCAGTGCCTCTTCTGTTAGTTTATGGGGAAAAACTAATCAGGATAATTGGCAGGACTGTACCATCCTGATGACCTTCAGCGATTCTGAGAGTGATGTTGAGAACAACCAATTAGAAAATGATCAACCAGAATGCAGCTTTTTGTGAAAGCTATGTAAAATACAAAAGAATGTCGAAATCGCAGACTTAATAGCATTGACACAGGTAATCAATCTGAAAATTCACAAAACCCTGAACTCGTTAACCGTAGCTCAAAACTCTAAAACTATCGAACGCTGAATCTCTGTAAAACTGATACCATTGCACTCCGAAAACACGAGTTACATCTTCTAGATTTGTTGCAGTTGTGACTTAAGTTCTGATAATTCATTCAATCATTATTTGTAGAAACAGAAGCTTTAAGTCGGCAAGGAATGTACCATGGTTTATAGATACCTTTGACCAGCATCTTCTGCAGAGTAAAATAATATCGTCCTTCACGTCTCCACTCTCTACGCACTGAAGTTCGTCATTATAGTATAATCTGACCGGTTAGTGTTGCTGACAAAACAAGAGCAATGAATCATCACATTTAAACTACGATGGAATGAATGAATGTGCATTGTTTCAAGACAATATTTAAAAGCTTAATTCGAAAAAGTAAGAGATACAAATTTTCAGCATCATATAATTTAATTATGAGGATTCAAGCAATCTATGGTGATAACAAGTGGTTAGTACAAAGAGTAAATTCGATACCTTTAATTAAAGATCACTCACGATCAAGGAGTTGATAACCGACCTGAGAAACGGTTCAGTGACTTCACTTTCAAAATAATTTCACCGCACAAATATATAAATTAAAAGCTAATTTGAACAGCTGTTGACCATTTCTTATTAACTATACTAGTGATTATATTTTTGCCTATTTTGTATATGTCATTGAATAATCAAATCAGTTCTGTTTTCCAATACAACAGCTGTGTATAATATTGCGAATACTGTCAACAACGTTGATCGTATTAAAAAGATAACACATTTTGTTTTTTAATGAACATATGAATGTTTAAAGTGCATTTCAAAACATTATTTGCCATTGCATAACATTGTATTATTCTTTTTTGTATTAAATAAAATCTACATAGATTATAGACAGGGTTGAGAAAAACTGTTGTTCATGATATTTTCAGTCCTATTAATTTCAGATGATATGGAACAGAGCTATCAATGGAATCAAGAAAAGGCGTTTCGTCTCATTTGGGACTCACTAACTGTATGTACTTACATCCCACAGCAGATGTTCGTCCCGGGACTCGAACTCGGAACTATTCTTTCCAAACGCAACTTAGTTATTGACTCCGGATAGCCGTTTAGTTGTTCAATGGGTATGAATCTTAAATTAACTTCTAATATTTCGGATTATCCAGGCAGGTCCAGCTGACAGGTCTCAAATAGGACGAAATGAACATCCTGAATACCACTATATACACATTCCATCTATTCCAAACATATTCGTATAGTTTGAGATTCTGTCTATTTGAGTAGTAATGAAGCATTGGTAACAATGTTTTGTTAAGAATTGTAAGCCCAGGCTTTCCTATGAGTCCTTATAAATTTTTATAATAAGCCGAATAATCCTGATACCTCTAAGAGCTGAGTAGACTAATTTTAAATTTTCGCATAGTGCTTTAAGCAAATGTTTCTCATAGCTGTTATGAAAACATCTTTCATTTTACTTTATAACATTTAAACTACAACTGAAAAACTTCTAAACTCAGGAAAGTAACTCATTCAGTAAACTAGGATATTAATTATTACAGTTCCGATACTATTACAGACACAGTTACTAAAACCAAATATAATTTTAAAGATATGTAATTAACTCTAAGAAAGTGAAGTACATTTAAGGGCGTCCAGTCAATTGTCTGAATTGATGTAAAATATGTGCCCGGTCGCGACTGTACATAATGGTCAACTTAATGAAACAAAGCCACAAATGAACAACGACTAGAAAGCAGCACAATCTACCAGAAACATTTATTTATCCTAACAAATTCGCGTCTTTTAATATAAATATTTAAAGTTAAATTAACCACAACTGAAAGCAAATTAACTGGAAGAAGTCTCTAGGAAGCTATGAAGTAATATTGTATATTCGTTGGTATTTGTGTTAGCAAGAATGATTTGTAATGCTGAAAGCATCAACTCCAAAACACTTACTTTGTTTACAACCTGTAATTTTAGAAGTAAAATGTCAGGAAACTAATATTTTATAGATTGATCTTACTAAGGAGATAGTGATCAACTTGTCTAATTACAAACTGTTGAAATCCGTCCAATCATTAGCTTTTCCTTAGGATATCAAAGGTAGATCACTAATAGATCTTCAACGTCCTACGTTAGTTGTTGACTTAGTTCAGTTTCAAATGAAGTGATGTCACTTATATCCAGTATATTCCAACTTTTGGTAAAAGTAACCATACAGTTATCATTCGGAAGTTCACTGCTGGTATATTTTACCGTGATGATATACCCGTCCATCATAGCATCTGGGGGCCGATATAACGAGGTTAAAGTCAGCATACATATCAATAGACCGAAAAATCAAAATTGACTCAAAAGTTCCGGTTTAGGACTTATAGAGACATTTCAGAAAGCTCTACAATCACGTGATGTAAGCTTTAGTTCTTGATCTGTCCCAAAACGAAAGAAAACACGGTCCCCCAAGAATCATCAAGGAAATTAATTGTTTTTGCAGCAGAAGATACGACGTTGCTGGTCACTGTGGGTTTTGGCACTACAAAATCAAAACATCACTATAAAACTATCTGAGGTAGATGGAATACCACAAACTATCGGTCTCAAAGGCGATACGTGACTTAATATGTATAAGTTGCAGTTAAGCCTCCGAAGCGCCTTCCTCCAATATAATTTATAGTAATAAAACCTTTCAAAGCATCTCTTCTAAAATGATCAAACTTCAGGTGACAGATTAGGATAAGAAAGCGACAATGGTCAAATCCTTTGGAAATATATGAACTCACAACCGTCCTCTCAAGACATATTTAGTTCCTGGATAAATGTCACTGGCTATTTTTCTCACTGTAGAAGAAATACAAGACGATATGCTTAAAGCACTAAATTATTTAGATGGGAGAAAGTCAACAAGTCTGACGGAATAACTTATAAATTATGTAGTCAGCAACTTTTTGATCTCAATTAGTGTATTCTTTCACTGTTCCCACTAACAAGGCCGAAACGCAATTCTTTAAATTATTGTCCAATAAGCCTGACGAGCATTGTTATAGAAATCTTAGAAAGAATGATCAAAAATCTTTGTGATCTCGGTCAAAAGCAACCAATTATTAAGTAGAGTAAACCACCACCCTAGGAATAATCTATTAAACATAATAAAGCTTCTACTCCCAAGAGAGAGCTCGATAGAAACGCTAAATTTCAGGAACTCTATTGAAAAGGTTTCACATGCTTGGCTTTATTGAAGCTGAAACGATTAGGGATTTCTGGACACCTGCTTGGATGGATTGAAACGTTTCC